AAATTATCATATCAGGACATCCTAATTAGAAGTATAAGGGGAATGAGATGCAAGAAGAAGAATTGTCAAGCATTCGATTCGCCAAACTTGGAAAAATTAGGATTTATTCTTTTCAAATATTCACTAGAACACAAAGCTTGGATGGATGAGAAGGGTCAGCACGTTTACTCAACATTTTACCAACCAGTGGAGTAGAGTAGAGGTATGTTCTCTTCTGGCACAAGTATAACCGAGGCAGGATACCCTCAGTGAGACTTCATGCAGGTCACTTTCGTTCTCAAATTTTGCAAGTCAGCAGGAACTGAGGGTGATTGCCCTAATCAAACAACCACTTAGATGTGATTTGTTTTTCAAAACATCCATCTTACTCGACTTCCACTGAGCAGTAAACTTCATGTTGGTGTTTGATAGATAAACTGGCCCTAAGGTCATTCGTTCTCTACAAAAACAAGAAACACTGCCACGGGACGACGAGGCAGACGGTGCAAACAAACAGGGACTGATCACCTACTGATTTATCACGGTCATAGGAGAACTCACAGAAGTGAGACCGTCAAGCAACCCTCAAATTCCATTAGCTCTCGATTGAACCTCTTTTTATGGATGGATTCCTTTCTTGTTTGGTACCCCTCCCAGCATTTACTTTCTAATAACGAGTCCAAAGCTGAAAACGTTCTTCCTTTTTTTTTCTAGAAACTCCACGAAAGAACGGCGTAAATTGTGTAAATGGTCATGAATTTTTTGAAGAAAGACTTGAAAACCTAAATGATCACTCACCTGTGCTCCGCATATGAGAAGGCTTCGGATTTCATCGAGCGACGCGTAGTTGGTGATTTTGTCAGCCAGCTGCCGCTGAAAACCATTAATTTTCAGGAAGGATAATGTTTCTGCTGACAAATCCCCTTTTATAATGTTTTCTCGTAGCCGCTCTTAGAACAGTGCCCACTCACAAATTTTTGCAATCCTAACCTCCCAGACCACAAAGGGTCCAATGGAGTGATAATGGGCGGACCCAGCCCTGGGTGAATATCCATTCGGGGTCTGATCCCTAGACTGTCCTTGTGGTTCTAACAATTCCACCCGAAGCCCATAACTGGTTAGAAACTTAGGTTTAGAGAAGGGATAGCTTTTCCTACATTTATTTCGATTTCCAATTCACTCATGTCGAAAGTGTGTGTTCGAGTGTGTTGAAGAGGGAAAAAATAGCACTTGGCGATCAACTCAGATGTTCAGCACGTCCCCGAAACGACCTCCTGCACTTGTGCTTGCACGAAGCAGCTGATTTCTGTTGACAGTTGTGGTGCGACGCGACGACGCGACGTGATCCGAAGGTGATCAGCGACAATGTCGCGCGACGATTCGCCGTCACCACGTCGCGCTGCTGGGGTGTTGACCACAACAGTGTTGTTGTGAAAAGTGAACGAGAGCGACTCGTGCGACCCGACCAAAGTCGAGTGCCGGCACTGACTGTCGCAGACGACATTAAAAGCTCAATAACATCTAAAGAAAGTAAAAACAGGAGAGGATAGGAGAGGATTATACCGGGATATCTG